CAGATCAGAACGGACTAGGAAGGACTTGCCATCCACTCTGAAGTATCAGGCCTTCGAAAACCCTACGTACAATAGAGCACATTTAGACTAGCAGATATGGCAACTGAGGCTGAGCCCTCAAGTACGGAAACACAGAGGAGGAAAGTTGTAAGCAGACCCTAGTGATGGGATTCAGTGAACGGGGTAATGGGGGTTAGGTGTGTCAGAGACAATAGGGTTGGTACAGGACAGAGCTGGGTTTAGGGCTGTTGCACATAGGGTCGCTATGAGTTGCAGGTGACTCAACAGCACAGAACAACAACATTCCTCTTTTAAGAGCTTTGTGTTTAAAATAGAATCTAAGATCTCTGGAGAGATCTGGTCCAGGGGTCTATTTCTGAAGCCACAGGGCAAATACTTTGGGCTGTAGCAGCATCCCGAGGCTCTGTCCCATCTACGGATGACTCTCATTTCTGTGTCAATATGTCAAAGGTGGCGACACAGGGGAGTGGCCGCGAGGAAGGGCCCTCACACACGCTACCTGCAGAGGGGCTTCCTCAATCCACATCAGATTTAGAGATGGGTGCTGCACAGTCTTTGCTCGGGAATTAAGTTATGAAACCTGAAATATGTACGATCAGCTCCAGGCACATTGTACTGATTCACCTCCATCAATACCCGAATGCAACCTGACAGAGCACAGGGGTGAGAAGAGTCCCACGGGCTTTGAGGGGTCTCCCTCAACTGCCATTCAACTGTATGCGCTCGCTTCTTCTCGGTCTCACTAATTAATGCTCAGTGTCCCACGCACATTAATTTTGAGGTGTTGCAGCATATTTATTGTGGGTGGAGTAGGTCCTCAGTTAGCAAAATAGTTTTAGGTTCTACACCCTGAGAAAGAAGACTCAATGGTGGATGGATGGATGGTGAAGAGATTGAGATTGTACACAGCTTTAGTCAGCTTGGCTCCACAATCAACATTCTTGGCACTCTTAGGGACCTCTCCAGAGTACTGAAGAGCAATGGTGTTACTCTGGAGACTAAGGTGCATCTGATACAGGCCATGGTCTTTGCAATCACTTGTTACGCATCAGAGAGTTGGACAATGACTAAGGAGGATAGAAGGAGAATTGATGCCTTTGAGCTGTGGTGCTGGAGAAGAGTACTCAATGTACCCTGGACTGCCAAGAAAACAAACAGATTCATCCCAGAGAGGGTTAAACCAGGCTGCTCCTTGGAGGCAAGGATTCTGGGGCTTTGTCTGATATACTTTGGACATGCTGTAAGGAAGAAGAGGTCCTTGGAGAGGGACAGCATGCTTGGGGGGGCGGAGGGACGGTGCAGAAGGGGAAGACCCTCTATGAGGTGGACTGATTCAGTGACTGGGGTAATCGGGATGGGTGTGTCAGAGGCAGTGAGATTGGCACAGGACAGAGCAGGTTTTAGGGCTGTTGTACAGAGAGGGTCGCTATGAGTCGCAAGTGACTCAACGACAAATAACAACAACAACCCTGAGAAAAGAAGTAAAGGCAACACCTGCACGTTCTTGCTGTGATCACACAGCTTCTGCAGGCAAGGTGCAGGCCGGCAAAAGGGGGCAATGTCCCTGCCCCTACTCTCCATGGAAAGGAAAGCCTGGGCACTTGGGTAGATTTTTAGCTGTTCTATCAGTTTATGACCCTTTCCCATCCAGAATTGTTGCTATTAGATGAAGCAACATTGTTGCGGTTAGGTGACAAGTTGTTTCCCTGTCAAACTGACCCTATGCAGCAAAACCAACCCTGCCTGATCCTGTGTCACTACTGTGTCTGAGTCAGATACTGCTGTGTTTGCTGTAGTTACCATATCAAACCATCTCATTGAGACTCTTCCTCTTTTGATGACCCTCCACTTTACTAAGCATGCTGTCCTTCCCAGGGACGAGGACCTCCTGATAACGTTCTCGAAAGTGAGTGAGATGAAGTCACACCATCATTGTTTCTAAGGAGCATTCTGACTGCATTCTTTATGTTACAGTCGACATTCTTCAACACGCATCCCAGCTACAATGCATTTCCTACAATTATCTCAGCCTTGATGAGACCCATCAGAGAAAGATTATTAATATTAAAAAGATGGTACAGAATGGCTGTCCCATGGCATTTATTTCCATAAAACTGGACACACCAGGATACGTATTTGGGAAAATATATTTTGTGAGAGGTGAGGCCAACACTCATAAGAGGAGATGGCCTCTTCCAGACGGGGAGGTCTGCATCTAAAGCTCATTACCTTCTCTGTCTACTCAAATGGCTTAGAGTAGATTCTAAGAATTGAATCTCAAAGAAAAAGAATCTCAAATTGATATGAAGTGGCCCAGTCTTTGCAGAGTCTCAGGGGAGTAGAACTAGGAAGACGGCGGCTGGTAGTCACACGGCTAAGTGTGTCCCCGTCATCAAAGCCTCCACGTGCCTGGCATGCATCACCTTCAGTTACAGCCACTGGTCTGAGGTGATAAAATCTTAAGGCGTACGTCATTCTGAGTGGCCACTCAGAAGCGGCCTAACAGTTGATCCTCCAGTGAGCTTTGAGAGGCTGTAAGCCACAAGGGTGGAGACTGTCCATCCCTCTCCCATGGAGCAGCTGGTGAATTCGAACTCCCTGGCTTTGGGTTAGCAGTGCAACTCCTTACCTATCAGGCAACCAAGACAAACGTGACGAGCTTAAACTGCAAAAGAGAAGGGTAAACATTAAAAAAACCCAACTGTATTAGGCATTGGCAAACTAAGGTTTGGGGCCAAATGAAGTTTGACTGGAGTGCAGTATGCTTAGAGCTTATCCACACCCCCTCCTGCTACAGTGGTGGGAGTCATGGGCTGTAACACAGTCACATGGCCTGCAGAAATGGAAAAAAAAATCCTCACTCTTGAGTCCTTTATAACTGAAGTCTACTGACTTCTAGACAGCAAAATCGTTACTTTTGTCAAATGTCTTTAAACTCTGAATTTGTAAAACTCAGCTGAAACTGTCCCCTCCTACACAGTGTTTCTCAGAGCGTGGTACCTGCTCAGAGGTCAACGTCATAGGGGACTAGCCAGGTCTCCAGTGGCAGACATCCTGGGGTGGGGCCCAGACTGACAAGTCCTTAGGGTGAGAGTCATGGATGGACTACAGCTGTGTGGACAGTAATGCACACCTCAGTCACAGTGAGACATGGCAGCTGTGTCCTAGCAGACACCAGCTGGACACGGCGCCTTATCCTAGAATACCCTCTCCCCACCTTCTGGAGCACACAATTTAGTGAGAGCCACGGTGAGGAATGCTGAGGAGTGACAACTGGACTCAGCACTCCTTGGATTATCCAAGACTCCTTAATGGCTGGGTGGTGACACATTTGCTTGAGAGCAGAAGTCCCAGTGGAAGAGACAGGCACCACTCTAGAATGAGGAACTGGCTCTCTAAGCTGTGGGGACACAGTGTACGTACAGTCAACCATCAGCCATGGTCACCACACAGTGTACGTACAGTCGACTGTCAGACGTGGTCACCACACAGTGTACGTACAGTTGACCGTCAGGACGTGGTCACCACAGTGTATGTAGTCTACCGTCAGATGTGGTCACCACACAGTGTACATACAGTTGACCGTCAGACATGGTCACCACACAGTGTACAAATAGTCGACTGTCAGATATGGTCACCATCCTATAGGTCACGGTCAACATGGACTTGGCGACAGCTGAAGAAGGGCTCCCAGGGAAGCACAGGTCAGTGCAGCTTCTTGTCACTAGGCCACCCGCGCTCCCCTGCACACGATTCCTCACTGTAAACTACACAGCATCCCTCCGTTCCGTTTTAAAAAAAGACTGTACACAAGTTCCTCGTGAGCACAAGGCAGTATTCCATCAGAAGCCTCTTCTTGAGGATGTGTTTATGAACACGCTGATTACAAGCATCAGTGTTAAAACAGCACATTTTCCTCCAGGAGAGACCGGGTGAGGCACTGTCTCTGCGCAGTTTGGGGAGGAAATGGCCTAATGGCGGCCTCAAAAGAGGAAAAAGCTTCAGCTGTTAAGCTTGATCTGAGAGAAATGGCTTAAAATGACAACACACTTTTGGGGGGGGGGGTTGATGCTGGGAATGAGGGCACCTCACCTAGATATGGCAGGGGGGTGTGTGTGTGTGTGTGTGTGTACGTGCTCGCACCAGACCTACAGGAAGGCCACAGTCCTGAGCACCAGGAAGGGATATTAAAGACAAAAAGAAATTTAACTCTCTAACAAGGTGGGAATTATCTAACAGATACACAACTTATGACCTATAAAGAACATGGGCAAATAGAGAGGAGGGGGGTGAAGTGGAATATTTATGTTGATACTAAAGTCAAAACCCACTGCTGCTGAGCTTAATCCCAACTCCCAGCAGCCCTCACTCGGCTCTAGGAGTCACGACCTCTATGGGAGGAGACTAGTGTGTCTTTCTCCCTCAGAGCAGCTGGTGGGTTTAAACCGGCGACCTTTTGGTTGGCAGTGTCCTCCGCCATGATCCTGGGTTCATGCTGGGCTGGTGAATGAAGGCCAGTGGTTTGAAGCCACTAGTCACCCCTTGGGAGACAGAGACGGTGGGCTGCTCCCCTCAAGCTTTACCACCTTAGAAGGCCAGGGGAGGGTCCCCTGAATGTGTCGTAAGTGACACTATGGTTTAGGTGGCTAGTAAATCGTAGAACGGCAACTTCAGACACAACCAAACTGGGCACCCAGATGGCCTGGTGGAAAGGATCTGCCCTGTCGATCCAAAAAGCAGACATCCTTTCATGATCTGAACAGGGAAAATGTTCTTCTGGAAGTTGGAAACCCTTGTTCTACTGAAGGCACTCAGTAGTGGCTTTTATTGGGCAGAAAGTAAACAATTCTGACTCTTTGGGGATGATATTTACATACAGTACTGCAGGGTCAAGAGGGCGCTTAAAGAACTGGAGTGCCATTTGCTGTTTAAAACCAGCCAGAACACCAGGCACATGCTACAAGCGGAGGACCCGGAACCCCCCTCCATACCTGAACCAAGCAGCGGGGACCGCGTTAGCTGTGTGCTGGCCTGGTGCGAGGGAGGTGTCTCCACCGTGCTGGCGTTGTTACTGGTGGTGGTGGCTGTGGTGGTGGTGGCTGTGGTGCTGTTCTGCATGACGGGGTTGTTACGATCCCACATATTTACAGTTTTATTGTTGTAGGTGCTCGGGTCCCCCCAAGCTGAGGTACCGTCATCAATTTCCATTTTGCGTCGAATGGAGGGTGGCGAGGGCTCCTCCCAGCCGGTGGCCTCACCGCAGTCCTTCTGCTTGACTGGTACTGGGCCCCCGATCCACCCTGTTCCTGTCTGCTTCACAGAGGCAGCCCCTCCCCAGTTACTCACACTGCTGTCTTGGGGTTTGCTTGCCCAGTTCTGCTGTGGGCCAGGCTTTAGAGACTCCCCCCAGCTTGTACCTGGATTAACCTTTGCATTTGTGCCATTGCCCCACCCACTGGTCCCAGACCTTGGGGCATCATTCCACCCGGAGCCAGACCTGCTACCGTCAGCATCCCAGCCGGACCCACTCTTCTTCCCCTCCCCCAGGTGTCCCAGGACCGAGGCTGAGTCTGCCCAGTCGCCCCCTCCGGCATTCCAGGCTGCGGTAGACTTCTGTCCATCGCCCCAGTTTTGAGATTTGGGTTTCTGAGGCTCACCCCAGGTGGGCGGCTTGTCCTCCTGACTGACAGTTCCACTCCAGGTGTGGCTGCCCTTGGCGGAGGCAGCAGCAGCGTTGACAGCGGGGGAGCTGACGGAGTCTCCCCACACCCCCGGGCCGCTCGGCACTTTTCTGTTGCCGTCTCCCCAGCCTGTGTTCGTGGGAGCAGCAGTGGAGGCCGAGCTGACCCAGCCAAATACTGCAGAGGTATTTGTACTGCTCATGATGGCCCCATCGCTCCTGCCCCCTGAGCTGGAAGGCTGAGTAGCTGCACACCCCCAGGCCTCTGTCCCATTGTCATTCTTCCTCTTGGACCTAGGGGATTCCTCAAATTCCCAGGCAGTGTTTTGCTTTACAGGAGTCTGTCCCCAGCCAGTGTTTGACAGGACTCTTGGGTCAAGATCGTTCCTTGGCAATTGGAGGTGCCCTTGGTCGACCACCCCCTTGTCACGCCTGCGGCCTTCCAGAGGCCCCTCCCGCCCAGCGCTTCCTTCATTGTGGTGGCCGGAGCCCTCGCTGCTCCCCTCGCTGGTGGCAGTTCCGGCAGATGCCCACGAGTTCATGTGGTCACCGCCAGGCTGCACGGCAGGGTTCTGGCTACTGACGTTAGGACTGTCCCACCCTGTTGATCCTTTCCCACTGATGTCATTACTGGAATGCTGGTTTGGGGGCTTCCCCCAGTCCCCATTCACACCATTGGAGGTGCTTCGGCTGGGGTGGCCCCAAGCTCCTGAATGGATATTCCCAACGCCACTGCTGCCGCTGCTCCTGCCCCAAGCCAGTATGCCGGGGCCCGCAGGCGGCCCCGAGTCCCAAGCCTTGGCTCCGTTTCCTTCCTTCTGCACAGCACTGCTCGATCCATTCGGCTTAGCACTTAATGCTGAGTTCACAGTGTCTCCATTCCCCTGACTGAACCCACAAGTACTACTTCCTGTGGCCAGGTTACCTGGGGACAGTCCCCACACAGAGCTGCCCAGGCCTTCTCCACCCCCGCTGACTTGAGACACCGACGCGCCGTTAGCACCAGGGGGGGCTTGCAGGTGGGGTGGGATGATGGCCATGCCCCAGTTGGGCAGTCCATTGGTCTGCACTGCACTGATGGGGTTTGGGGGCGGGTTCATGGGGTTAGTGTTATTTGGTCCTTCAGAGTTAAGGTTCTGAGGTTGTACGCTGAAAGACACATTCTGAGAGGCAGGCGTTTGTGGCTCTGCGTTCTCGGACGGCAGCAAGCTTCCCCAAGCACCTAACGTGCCCGCTGGGTTCCCGTTCTGGTTGCCCAAGTTTGGCCCGATGGCACTGACCGGACTGCAAATACTGGAAGGGTTGCCTGTTGCCCCAGCTCCGTCGTGTCCAAGCACAGGCCAGGCAGCTGGGTTGGCATTGGGGTTAAGGTTCAGGCTGATGGCAGCACTGGAGGTGGACGCGCCCCAGCAGTTCTGACTTCTCCCATCCCCAATCATGGTGTCCATTTTCCCATCCCCGCCGCCGACGGGGCAGTGAGCGAGGCCGGAGCTGGAGCCTGCGGCTACGCCCCACACGCGGGCTGCGCCCCCGCCCCCGTTGGCCCCAGCTGCTCCAAGGGTGCTCTGAGGAGAAGTGCTTTGGACGAGTGCGCTGTTGGTGCCATTACTGCCATTGGTCTTCTTCGGGTGGCCAGTGAAGCTGCCCTGGGCGCTCCCTGTAGCCATGCTACTGTTCTCGGAGCCACAGGCGGAGGCCGCGTCAGCATCCGCAGCACATTCTGGGGCCGCTTCCGGCTCGGCTCCCGGGATGGAAGGCCCGGCCTCCTGGTCAGTCCTCTCCAGTGTCACTTGATCCCAGCTGCAGTTGGCCTCGCTTCTGTAACAGGGCTGCTGTCCCCAGTGGGGACTTTCATAATGATCTGCCAACCCACCGTGGCTGAGATCTGGAAAAAAAGGAAACAAAACTCACAATTAGATCATTCCCCTCTGCCAGTGAGCCCACCGCAGACTGACCTCTGGGGAAAAGCTTCCTTTCCAAGTTTTCAATTCTGAATGACAAACAGCAAAAGATGACATTGGGGGGAAGGGGGGAGGATTCTGTCTTCTCAACAGCTTCCACTGAAAAAGAGCTCGTGTTTCTAAAAAGAAACTCAGTCTTGCCAGCACACCACACTGTTATCCCTCTTCAGAAGGCACGAGCGTCTGGGCAAGGACTTGCTGGAGAAGCTATCAAACTGGACTGGAGCTGAGCTAAGTCTGCAGGACCACAAGCCCGAAACGTCGGCCGGAAAGGATGCAGAGTGCCAACGGGCTTTTCAACAGACATCTACTCACAGACATCAACTTAGAATTAGTGTGGCCGTGTGGACGCTACCACAGCTCCTTTGGTAGGAGACAATGCACAGCCTGGGCACCTTTCAGAGAAGCTGCTGTGGGGTCTGGAGGGAGAGGGGATGAGGCTTCACAGGTCGCCTCAGGCATCAGACACACTGGTGGTAAGAAACGCCTGGTCACAGGGATACTACTGTCCGCTCCTCCAGCAACTCCAGTTCATCACACAGTCCTGGGTACAAACTGCCCTGTGCACTCCCCGTGGCACCTTGCCAGGTAGCTGAGGAGCCTTCCTACACACATAGACCACTCTGCACGGATTTCCTTAAGTGGCAGACTTTTCCTCAAAGACCCCTGAATCATTTTATATATCTTCCTACAGCACTCAGATCGTCTCAGTGCCCTGGTCCTTTTAAAGGCTCCATGCCGGCATCTGCGTCCTGTCTCCTCTGAGTGCTCGCTGAGGACTTCGGACAGTGCAAGCCTCTTCCATGCTCACGCTCCCAGCAGACCCGAAAGCTCCTGGTCATTCAACAAGCGGCAGCTGACGGAGCCAACGGGTGCAGATGGCTGCTCAAGTCACGCCGTTTAGAAAGCCTCCACACGTTCTTTAAAAGCAAGTTACAAAAGCTGACTACAATCAATCACTCCTTTAGAGTCTTTTGATCATTATATTCTCACAAAATGTATTCTAACAAGAATTTTATTTGTGGGTGGTAAAATATTGGTTTCCCAAAGAACTGCTTGGGAAGTTTGACAGTGCTCCGGGGAAAAGAGAAGTGTCCAGAATGTGTCCTACGGCTGGCAAGAACACACCACCCCTCAAACCAAGCTCCGAGGCCATTCCTGTCGCCTGCTTGTCCAGAGGCATGGGGAATGTCCAATCACGACAGAAGGGATGCCAAAGCAGGCAGAGAATTCCAGGCGAAAACAACCAAGGAAAGGTGAAGGCAGACAGCAGAGAACGAGAGAGATAAAAACTGCTGTAAAATCTCGTTTGTCTTTTAATTTTAATAATATTGGTGTTAGCCCTGGTTGATGACCTGCTCTTTGTTTTGTTCCAAAAGTAAAAATGATCTTATGTAAAAATGATTTAGACTTAAAAAGAGTCATTCACCATTAATGTAGAAAGTAAGGTAAGAGGCCCGTCTTTCCTCTCCCTGCTGTGGGCTGTGGGGCCAGCCCCGGCCACAGGATCCTCCTTCAGTTGTGAGGCTGTTCCTCGCATTGGAGGAGAAGGTCCGTATTTCTCCCTCAGAGCCTTTGGGTTCACAGCACAACTCAACAACGACTACACCGCCAGAGGCCCTTTGGCTTTTTATATGATGACCATAGTTCCTTCACCTGCTGCCTCACCGCCTACTCTCAGGTCAGGGCTCCCATAAGGCAAGCAGTTCACCTACCTCTGGCCTGGGCCCTCAAATTTTTGTGTGTGTGTGTGTGTGTGATGTTGGGTTATTTATTTTGTGCATCTGTGGCAATAAAGGAGATTTCCGTGGTGGTACTGATTTGATTGATCTCTGCAGCCGTGCATGCTAGGAGGCATGGGGAATGAGAGATAACCCAGATCCCGCCAAAAGATGGAGAGGGCCAACAGAACTGGACATCTGGGTTGGCAGAGACATTAAAGAAGCAAGACTGTAAGGAGTGCAGCCCCATCTCTCTGCTCCTCTCTTCCTTCTGTTCTGAGTCCCTTAGAGTATGTTGTATTCATTCCAGGAGCTGGAAGACAATTGTCTAAGACATTTGGCTTTAACTGACCAGTCTCAAAGTAAGCTTTGTCTGTATATATCAATTGAGAAGGTGGGGAGAGAGAAGACAATTTCTTATTCTGTCTTCCCTTACAGGTGAGAATGACAAAGATCTCTCTTCTCTCCCTCTCTTAACTTCTCTAGAAGGCTTGAGGGGTGGGCAAAAGGGGAGAAGTAGGGCTGGAAGCCCTAAGGTTTCCTATGAAACCTCACATCCAACAGGCAAGGGTTGGCGTTAGGATTGTAGAAATACACCAGTGAAAAAGCTCTAGCCAGGATAAATGAGCATAACTTGGGCAAAAATGCCTTGAATCTGACTGGGATCATGGCAGTGAAAGTTGGGGCTGCTGGAAACCCAATTTAAACATTTGAAACTCAAGTAGAGAGTGCGGGGGCCATGATAACTGGATCCCAGGACAGGCTTTTGGCAGTGAGAACAAAGGATAAAGAAACTGGGACCTAGATGCCTAGATCCCTAGAGAGGGGAATATTGATATCACGAGGAAAAACAAGGGCTCGGGGCACCCAGAAGCTTGGGCTCTGGTATAGCAGCAAGTCAGAATTCCAGGATCTCTGTCCACTTTCCTCTTTCTTCTCTCTATCAGGAAGAAGAGATGGAAGGAGGGTGACTAGAGAAGGGATTAAACCATGGGTTTAATCTCAGAGTAGCCACACAGATACATTCAGGGCCAGACAGACACAGGAATGGTGGGTGTGAGAGAATTTAGTGCTGCATTGGCCCTGGAGGGGGCTGAGAGGGGTCAGGAGGCTGGGGAGGGGTGGTAGGGGTCGTCCCTGGGAAGCATGACGCCGTCCTTTGCGGTGGCCCCAGACACAGTGTGTATGACCACAGCCCTCGTCTTCCTTCTCATCGCTCTCCGTGGAGCTCTCGCCAAAGGCCCAAGGTTTCTCATAAATACAGCAGCATTTTGATGAGTGGCGTCCCATGTGTTCACTGTCCACAGTGTCACTTGTCCATTCCACCTTTTTCTCTGGCTTCCGTTTCCGTAGTTTGATGGTTAGGCTCCGGTTCTCAGGCTCAGTTGTCACGGTAACCGTTGTCTCAGTGATGGTCTCACTCAGCCCAGCCCCTGCCTCCACCATGGCTAAGGCCGAAGGGAGGGTGGCGAGGAGGAAGGTGGATGAGACACCCTTTCTTTTTTTCTGTGGCTCGAGATCCGAGAGATTCGGTGTGAGATTCAGAGTAGAGACCGGGATCCTTCCCCTTTTTTTGCCCTCCTCCAGGGCCTCCGCTTCCCCACCCCTGAGGGTAACCTGTCCAGCAAGGGCCCTCAAATTTTAAAAAAGTATTTATGGTTGTACAAAACAGGCACAAGCTCAACAGTGTCTGCATGTGGAACTGTGTGACTCCGAGTGCATCTTCAAGACGTGTGGCTGCTCCCGGCCTCCTTCCCAAGCTGCCCCTGCTCCGCAAACACAGGCTCACAGCACTGAACTCACGTCTCACGCTTCACGTTGTTACTGCTAATCTGATTCCACAGAGTGTGTGCACATGCACACACGCAGACACACACAGTGTGACAGACTCACACGCAATCCTTTAGAGAACATGAAGTTACAGAACAGCCGTGAAAACGCACTTCCAGCCAACATACAAACCCCCTGGTGTCTAAGAAAGACAGCACTACCAACCAGAAAAGGAAGGAAGGCATTGGCGGTCACTAAGTGCAATTAAGAGGACTGGCTCACTCTCTCCTGCTCTCCTAGTGGGCCGGTTCTGACTGATGGCTGAGAGCGAGCCAGCAGTCACAACGGGAAGAGACTGCCTCGAAGGCTTCGGGGCTGCAGTGCAACTTGCTGTGGACCACGCTGACAATGGGCTCATCCAATGAAAGAAGCAAAGCTCTCCATCTCCTATCATTATACAAAAAGAAACTTCAGGCAGATTCAAGATCAAACTGTGAAAACAGAAACTTTGTAAGATTAAGAAGGAAACAAAACGAATAGTTCTGTGATGTTGAAAACTATCTTCTTACAGAAGACCGAAAATGCATCAGCTATGAAGTTGATGCCTTTTGCTACGCAACCATTAAAATGGTTTGTATGACAGAAGACATCATATTAGGGAGCTAAACACCAAGCTACGGATAGAAAAAAGATAGAATAGATAACAGGTTTTTATTAAAAAAATACCAAAAAACAAACACAAAACACCCCACTCCTCAAAACCAAACCCTCCTACTAAAACAATAAGAAAAAGATTAATAAAAAAAAAAAACAGGACACAAAACAAACCAAAAAACCAAACAGGACACACACACACACACACACACACGCTAAAAGTATTTTAGAGAAGAGGGAACTCCTCCACTCTAGGATGGTGCTGACCCGTACGTGACCCTGAGTCCTCAGCTGCACACTGTCTCAAGTCCACAGCTTATCTAGACTACATCTGAACATGAGAGAAAAAAAAGTTTAAGTAATACATTTGGCATAGTTAGATTCAACTATACACTGTGGTTATGTGCTGTTCCTATACTGCTATAGCGATCCTATGTACAACAGCCCTAAACTCCGCTCTGTCCTATGTTGATCTCACTGCCTCTGACACACCCACCCTGATTACCCCAGTCATTGAATCAGTCCACTTCATAGAGGGTCTTCCCCTCCTACACTGTCCCTCCACCCTCCCAAGCATGACGTCCCTCTCCGAGGACTGGTCCCTCTTTACAACATGTCCAAAGTAAGTCAGATGATGCTTCAGAATCCTTGCCTCCAAGGAGCAGCTTGGTTTAACTCTCTCCAGGATCAATCTATTCATTCTCT